GCGTGTTATTGATTTGACTCACAAAGTTGGATTGATCCCTTTTGGACTGAATTTGGATGATTTTTTTACCTAACTCTTATTCGAGTGTAGGCACCAAGAAGCTACAAGCTGGCGGCAAAGCATTACTTTTTGTCTTGGACATCAAGCACTGACTAAATGAAGCTCCTCCTCTCACTTCAAGATAGTTCCAAGTCATTAAGATGGTGCTGAAGCACTCATTTTCTTTTCGACCGGGCTTTTGCTTGAGCGCAAAAACAGTCAGAAGGCAATTTCACGTGAATAACGGAGGATAAAATAGTCACTTTGTGAGTCGTGAATTTCTCACACCAATGTTTTGCGTGTTATTGATTTGACTCACAAAGTTGGATTGATCCCTTTTGGACTGAATTTGGATGATTTTTTTACCTAACTCTTATTCGAGTGTAGGCACCAAGAAGCTACAAGCTGGCGGCAAAGCATTACTTTTTGTCTTGGACATCAAGCACTGACTAAATGAAGCTCCTCCTCTCACTTCAAGATAGTTCCAAGTCATTAAGATGGTGCTGAAGCACTCATTTTCTTTTCGACCGGGCTTTTGCTTGAGCGCAAAAACAGTCAGAAGGCAATTTCACGTGAATAACGGAGGATAAAATAGTCACTTTGTGAGTCGTGAATTTCTCACACTTTAAACCCTTCACGAATGAACGGAAGGTTCTATATCGGCCTCGGCACGTGCACACCATGCATCTCTCTTTTCCCGAGCAAAATGTGCAGCTGGGACGTCGCAGAAGTGAGCCTGAGCCGCTTGGCTCGGTCCCCTCTTGAGGCCCGATAAACGGCCGGGTGCGTAATGGCTCCCATATGCAGCCGCGTAGCTCACTAGGCGTCGCTCGCTCGGCGTAGCCGTGCAATGCTCAGTTTTAGCCAGAAAAAAAACGTCCAAATTACGTGGAGAGAAAAACAGAAGGACACACACAAAAAAAAAAAACATAACAACAATAATAAAGAGCCCAAACAGGTTTGATTGGAGCGCCGTGTCAACTTTTGCTAGTCGTCCTCAACATCTGCTTTCATTTAGGCCCGGGCTCCATATGAAAAAGAACTCCGGGAAGGCTGGAAAAACATTTCCCATTATAGTCGGCTGGAGCAAGGCCAGCGTACAGTTGGAGTCTTTTTGGATGTTTTTCAACCGCGGATGACGCAAAGAGGGCGAGCGAGTGAGCGGGAGGGTTTGTGTGACACCGCCCTCGTGTCCCCGCCTTCACCCGCCAGTGGAAGCAAATGACAAGTGTACTGTCGGCTTGGGGCTTGAGGTCAACACTTCTGAGCTGACTTGACTCATGTGTGATGTGTGGAGTGGAAAAAGGCAAAGTTGGCGTATGTTTTGCTTCAAGGTTGCTGGTCTCCTCCGAGTCGCCATAGCAGCATTGTCATTATCGTCCATTTTTGACTTGGTTTTGACTTTCCAGTTAGTTTTAATTAGTTTTCAGAGCAGGTTTTGTTCAGCTTTCATTAGTTATAGTACTCGTTGTTTTTTAAAATATTTTTTTTTAATATGTAATATTTGTCAAGTGCGAGATAAAAAAAAAAGGTCAATTAAGTATTGTGTGATAAAGTTAGGTGACCAACACGATTGCTTAACAAGCCTTCAATTAAGTGTTCGTATGTTTTTTTCACAGAAAATTTGTTTTGGGGGCGTGGCTTAGTTTATTTTAGTTACCTAGTATTTATTACATATAGTTGTATTACACCTTTACCTTTTTGCATACGTTTAACTTTTTTCATATTTAACTTTAAAAAAAAAGTCATTTTTTACTTTAAAAAAACTTTAGTTTAATTTAAAAAAATTGAAATCAGTTTCAGTTTTCAGAATAAGTTTTATATAAATAATTTAATGTATTTATTTATGTATGTTTTTATTTATTTATTGTTGTACAACCTATCTTTTAAAACAAAATGAACCGGAACGATTTGCTTGTAATGGACATTTTTAACCACAAGAGGGCAGTCTCTTTCCATATAGTTGACTAACGGCGTCCAGGTTTAATTGAGCGAAACGAACCAAATGATCAGATTTTGAGACTCTGTCTCAAAATCGACGTTTAAGTTCTGGGTCAACAGTAAGCATATAGATGAAAAGGAAAAAGGTGAGCAATTAGTGAACCTGATGTAGGTGCTTCTGGTCTGTCAAATTAAATATTAGTATTTAGGGAATTTCAAGACAGTTCATTCAATAATAGTTATAAATCATCATAATTAAATAAGAATTAGCAAACCTAATCTACACTTGCACACACACATAAATTCAACATTTTCAACCTACTGAAACGTTTACTGACCACACGCAAGAAGTACGGTGGTCTTGTAGGGGCATAAATCAAAATCTTGTTAAATTTCTTCATTCAACTTCAACTTTGCCTAACTTAAGCGACAGATACGGTGGCCACCGAAGACCAAAAGTCCCCATTTTGCCAAATCTCTCTCACTAAGTCCGACTTTTTCAGCTCACTTCAACGATATGTAATAAGTATGGTGGCCTTATGGGAGCAGACGGGCAACATTTTGGCAGAAAGTTCTTAAATTTGCCTACCTTGAGTGAGAGATATGGTGGCCTGAAAGGACCGTAGTCAACGTTTGGCAAACAGAACGGCGTTGTTGGATTTTTTTTTTTTTTTACTCTCCATTAATAACTGATTGACGTGAAGTACCCGTGCACGGCTGGTGAATTTGTACTCTGGAATGCTTCTGCCGACACACTGCTTGTGTCTGGGGATCAACAAACCTGGAATAGTCCATTCCGCCTAGTTTTCACACACACACACACACACACACACGCACACACACACACACACACACACACACACACACACACACACATCTATGCGTTCGTGAAGGTTATTTTCGAAATGTCAGCCTCAGCTTCAAAGGTGAAAGCACTCAATTGATCTGCGAAACAAAGCCCCCTAGTGGTGGATTTGACCATTGTCAGCAGCTATCTATCGATGAAGACTTAGCGTAAATTCACATTGAGCCGAATAATATTTTTAAAAAATGTTTTTCCTCACTAATGAATTGTAAAAGACAATTTTAGAACAGCGTTGGACGGTTTTGCGTTTCTGTTAATATCTAAATTGAAAGCCAAAGGTTGCCATCATAACCTTGGTGTAATTTGGCTCAATTTGCATTTAGCGAATTTTAACGATCAGTTACGGCGCCCTTAAAATGTTAAAAGGCAATGTTTTTGAAAAAGTGTGCCATTCAAAACTTACCTACCAAATATGGTGGCCTCAAAGGACCAAAAAGGCAATGTTTTGTCAAAACACTTGTGGGCTTTTCGGACTACAAGTGGTAAGTATGAGAGGTTTTAAAAACAAAAACTCAACATTTTGTCAATGTTCTCCATTAAAAATGTAACATGTTTAGCTTTTCTGAACATGAACGTTAAGTACGTTAGCCATTTAAGGGATTGAAAAGTCAAGGTTTTGTCAACGCTGGCCATTGGAAACGCTTACATTTTGGCTTTTACGGTGGCGAGAGATTAAGTACGGTGGCCTCGAGGATCAAAAGTCTGGGTTGGCTCCTGCTCTGCACCAAGATGCTACCGCCATAGTATGCCAGTATGTTTTTCTTTCAATTCATTATTATTATTTGATTGATACATAGCGTTGCCTTAGCGACGTTGCCATGACAAAGAAATTGTCGTCACACAGTTGCCACGGCGTAGCATCCGAATTTGAAAAGCTCTCGTGACCTGCTTGTTTATTCCACGATGACGCAAAAGGTCATGATGGCACGCACGTCGGTGAAGTGTGTGTATGAGATCGGGTTCTAATTAGAGTTGGGGGGGAGGGGGTTCCCCTTCTCGGGTGGGCTGCTTGTACACGCATTCCAATGCCAGGAAAACAAAATGCGCCAATTTCTGCATCGTTGCTATTGATGAACTCGAGGTGTCATGAAAAAGAGAAGAAGAAGTAGTCATGTGTTGATCGGGTTGCTTTAGGTGTTTTCCAGTCACACACACACACACACACACACACACACACACACACACACACACACACACACACACAGGTGAAATGGGAGCTCAGGTAAATCTGACACCACCACAAAAGGCCACTGTCAAAACACACACACACACACACACACACACACACACACACACACTAAGTAGAGGTGAGCACAAGAAGGAATTTTCAGTTCAGATAAACGCCACTGGGCTGCTCATCAATATTTCATCAACAAAACCCCGTTGCCCCCCGTCTCAGAGTGTGTGTGTGTCTGTGTGTGTGTGTGTGTGTGTGTGTGTGAAAATGAAGTGCTTTAGGGAGATTTTTTTTTTAATATGTCTTTTTTTTTTGTATTTACACATTTTATAGGGTTAATTTGTTGGGATTTTTTTCCCCTTCAGATTGACAAGCTTTGTCATTTCAAATACCTTTGACAAAAATGTGCAGAGAGTGAGTGAATGACTCGTTGAATGAGTGACTGACAGTGGGGCAGTGAGAGAGTTAACGAATGAGCGAATATTTTTTCGGACCGATGGATTTAATCCTTTCATTCCCCAATAATTATAACCTGTAACCTGATATCATGATCGGCTGTCCACTGTAGTGGCCGCTGTCCCTGAAAGGATTAATTCAGGAAACAGTGAGTGACAGTGAGGGAGTGAATGAGTGAGTCCATTTTTGTAGTTCGGATGGGTTTAAGGATGCATAGTGAGTGAGTGAGTGGGGGAATTTCAACTGAATAACTCATTCAAATTCTGGAATATATTTAGTAATCCCTCCCCCATTAAAAAATGGTTTTTATTATGATTATTATGATTATGTTTTTTTTATTATTGTCGTCCTTGTTGTTATTTATTCCACTGCCTAGTCACTCTGCTCCGCTGCGTGTTCCGGATGCCGGGATGTGATTGCGTTATCCAGCATCCTGACATCACTTTGGGCTCCCGGCGAGTGTTAAGTGCAAAGAGAAAAAGCCTGGCGTGGTTGACGGTGACGTCACAGGAGCGAAGGGGGGCATGCGGCACTAAACACACACTCCTCCGGCGGTGCGAGCCACCAATTTGGGTAGTCTTGTTTTTTTTTTTGTTTTTTTTTTCTTGTTTTGTTTTGTTTTTTTGATCCACTGGTGTCGGAGCTGCAGTGTGCGAAGATGATAAGGGATGAGGATGCTGCTCGCTTAGCTGGACGCCGGGAGAACTAGAAGAAGAAGAGGAGGAGAGGAGGAGGTCGTATGCATGGAGGAGTAGGGGGTTGCGGGTAGGGGGGTGTGTTTCTTTTTTCCTTTTCCACCAATTTCTTGGACTAGACATGAACAGCGTGGATCCAGCGTCCAGTAAACTGTTGACTTTCAATCAGCGGTAAAAAGCCACAGGGTTTATAAATTGTGCATGCTTTTGTCCCCCCCCCCACCCCCCGTCCCCGCTGTTGTTTGTTGTTTGCACCTTGCATCTGTTGCATGCATGCGCCTCCTTCTCCTCCCCCTCCTCTTCTTCCTCGGTGCTCTTCCAACACCTGCACGCGAGGTGTGCGTTACACTCATTAAAGTTCATTGGAATCGGCGATGTGCTGCTGGAGGTTGTTGGGCTTAAGTCTCGGGCGCACCTTTTACGCGGAGGAATATGAAGCTAGTATGTGCCCTTTTGACGATTGTTTTTGCCCGCATCCATGTGTTGGAAAGCTGTTTTGACACGCGGTGCTCGCGTCGAACAAATGTGTCATACTGGTAATGTTCTTTTTGACTATGCGTACCACTTTTGGCCTGTAGTAACCCATGCAATTAAAATGAACGATTGCGCTGCATTAGTAAGCATGTGGCATGCACTAGTAACCTGGACAGTACTAGTTGTGCCAACATGATTTCCAATAATAGTCCTCCTAGCGTGCACTACTAACAACCGTGAGTAGTGTAAAAAGATTACGAGTAAAACACTAGTTATCTTACCGGTGGGCAAAGCCTGTACTAGTAGATAGTTGATATCGCATTCTCGGCACAATGTGGAACTTGATTCAAGTCGGACTTCTGGAAGTATAATAAAATGTTTAAACAAACACAGAAGCCTTCGTAGGTATGCACATATCAATAATGTGCTGCTGTTTTGGTGAGCGACAGAGTTGCAATGGCGTCAGCAGTGCCGCCTTCATAAACGTGAAACCAAAGTGCATTGCTAAAAGCGTTCCAGGAAAGATGTGACGGCTTTTGGGGGCGAATGTGCGTTGCGGACGATTTGAATTTCCCAACTTTTACCCAATGGCATTGGTGGAAGTTTTTTCCCTAGTACAGTGAACCTGTTTGTCATGAGAGATACGTTCCAGGCCCACCTGCATTAAATGAAAATCTGCACTCGAGAGAAACCACATAAAAACATTTTTGATGTACTTTTGGACATGCTTTAACCCTTTCATGGACCAATAATGATAACCTGTAACCTGATACCATGATAATCTGTCCACTGTAGTAAACGCTGTCCAGAACGGGTTAAACACATTTAAACGTTTTGAAACATACCCCCCCCCCCACCCCCAAAGTATTCATTAGCATCTATTATCACTCTCACACTCAAATAGGTGGCTAACATATAACAATACCGTGGGAACAAAAAGAAGACTCGCTGGCATGACGGACTGTTTAAACGAACATTTCATTTCACCAAAGCAAAGTCTGCTAATATGGAAGCGAAACGCCACAGAGGGTTTAGCATAAATTAGCATTCCGCTCTTCATCAAAACACTTTTAAAAGCATTCATTCGCGTCTTCTCTGACTGTCTCGCTGCCAAGAGGTGCGAGACTGTTGTATAACTTGACTTTAAGTCAACAGAGAACACTCTCTTGCGCACATAGTTTCGCAAATAAGAGGCCGAGCGCGATTGCTATAAGCTTTTCATTCGTCACTTGCAGTTGAAATTCACTGAAATATCGACACATAAAACAAAAGAAAATGGAACTTGGTCTATTTAAACAGCAAAATGTTTAACCGGACGTGTCATTTAGTCGAACTAAAGTGCACTAGCTTCATGCTAACATGTAATTGGAAACGCCATACACTGGCTATTGGAAATTGGCCATTGACGTGATGCTAATTGTAAATCTTGCTACTTTTAACGCATGCAGAGGAGCAACGCAATACGAACGGAGTTCACAACTCACAGGAAAATCATAGATTTTCTCTGCGACATAGCGCAGGAGCGCTAATGATTCACCGTATCTTTGTGGGAAAGAGGCTACAATCGACTACTGCAATGGCAGACGTTCACGGTCTTTTTCATTAGTGAGGCTGCCCGGTGTCATTTCATCATGTCTGTCGAAAAAGGAGATGGAGTGGGAGCTCCGGTGAAAGGTTAGCTCGAGGCGTAGCTGGGTCCGACGCGCCCACTGAATGTGAGCGGAAGGCTGATGGCTGGATGCGCTTGCTTGAAAAGGCTCCAAGCGTGCATTAGATGGAAACGCCTCCATCTCCAGGAGGAACCAGAGCAGGGTGGGAGGGGACCCCGCGCCCCCCACCCATCCGCTTCAGAATGGCGAAACGATTGTCATCGCTTCCATTCACGCATTGAAAATTAGCGGCAACGTAACCGCCCACCTGCAGGCAAGGTTGTGATAGTTTATGAAAACGAAGAAAATAACTGAAACTAAAATTAAAAAAAAAAAAAAGAACAAATTAAATGCTTTTAACGCTTTCATGTACCCTGTAAAGAAAACTCACTGAAACTGCGTCTTAGCTTTAGAAAACGAAAACAATAATTCGAGAGGGCAATAGCCTTTGTTTCCATCTTTGTCAATTCTTGTCATACAAGAGCTTACAGGGTTGATGTTACAATGTCTTTTTTTCAGTATTGCTGAGAGCTACAGCAAAAGAAAATCGGAATTGTTTGAAAATTGTACTTTATTACCCAGTGGTCAGTAATTTTTATTTATATATTTTTTTATCTCCCACTTGACAAATTCTCCATTAATTTAAAAACTAAAACTAATCATAAAACTAAACTAAACAAAGTATTTACGAAAACAACTAACAAACCTGTTATAAATTAATATATAATATATATATAACTATAATCATGACCTGCAGCCATACCCATTTTGTCTCACAAAAGTTCGCTTGCTTAATGTAAGCATAGCAAAATGCCGCTAAACAAAACGAGCATCAACGTCGCAGTAATTATACACCTTGAAGCGATTTTTCTTTTCACACGAAGGGCTCTGTTTTCATGAACAGCATATTCTTAAATGAGCGCAGACTGGCGGATCTGGGAGAGGGAGGTCCACGCCGCTGTGTGTGTGCCCCCAGCCGACTTCAATCATAGCCTATTAACGTGACTTATCAATAACAATACAGCAATATGAAATATAAATACAGTATATGCAGTGAACATTCTTATTTTTCTTTATTTTTATATATTATCCATACATAAAAAAATGCAAAACTAATACACAACAATGACATAAAGCACTGTTTGCATTGTATACATTGTGCGAAAGTGCGTTGCGCTGTGAACTGCACTGTCATGACATTTCCTTCATGACATTTTTTTTTTTTTTTCCTGTCGTAGACTTGTTTTATCTCGGGATTTAGGTGCCTGTGCTTTTTTTTTTTTTTTTTTCCCTGTTTAAAGACGCATTAAGGAATTGCTGTCTGTGTTTGTACCAAGAGATTTGATGTTTACCCAGCGTGTGTTTCTGTTGCAGCTCGGCCTCGGAGGACCTGGGCTGCCGGCGTGGAGACTTCAGTAGGAAGCACTATGGATCTGTGGAGCTGGTGAGTCATGCCTCCCGCACATGTGTGTGCATAAACACACACTCGCACACACACACACACACACACACACACACACACACACACACATATATGTATATGCACACACGTGTCCATTGTGAGCCTTGTGAGCATAAAGCGGGTCAGAAATGGATGGATGGATGGATGAACAATAGCAAGGTACCGTTGATCCATTGTTAGGTGTCTTCTTGGTCTCATGATGTCAAAATGTGAACAGCATGATGAGGGCGACTGTTTTAACACCAGCTCGAAGTGAACCGGGACATTTATTGGTCAATTCAAAACTCAAGCGCCAGTTGTGAATTTTGCCCTAAAGCTCCTCGTTAGAGAACAGCAACTTGCGCAAAAAGTACTGAAGCATTTAACAGTTGGACAGGTGCATTCAAAAGCTTAGAGAAGGTCACACAAAGTTCACATGGAAAGGTTTGAATGTATTTGATCATCATTGGTGTCAATTGTATTGTATAGTGTCGTGTCGCAGTTGGACTCTTGAATCTTACTGCAGTGTATTTATCGTATCGTCTATGGAGTCAATCGCATTTGTATTGTAATTGGCATGATCGTACCGTAGTTGGGTGAAGCTTTTTATACATCAATGTGTCCCACTGGAATTGGAGTGACCTGGTAAGACTTTCTGCCAGAGGGAACCCCAGTGAAGATGCCTTTTTTTTTTATATCAGGCAAACCGACCCCACAACCCACCAGGAGGGCCCTTCATAACGATTATTTAGCGGCGCCTAGATTTTGTCAAGAGTAGCTTTGTTGCTCTCCATCTTTGTCTTGCTCTCCTTCACCGGACGGCAGTGGGAGAGGGCCGGCTGATGTGGCGGTGGGTAGATGAGTCACCATGCTCTGGGTGTGGTCCAGCGTTGCACACGCGCCCACTGTTGCTGCCACCGCCTCCTCCATCTCTTCTTCTTCTTCTTCTTCTTCCTCCGCACTTCATTCGTTTTGTTGTTGTGACGCCGCCGGCATGTAAGAAAGTACGCAAGAACGCCGTTGCAGCGTCCTCCTAAGCCATTGAGTCATTGTTGCTTCTTGCGGGGGAGGGCGTTAAGCACCGCAATCACACTTCCTTGGGCCAGGCTCATTTCTGGGCCAGATTAGCATGGAGGGGAAAGCACATGCCGCCAATCAGCACCAACAGACTGCCACCTCACTGTGTGTGTGTGTGTGTGTGTGTGTGTGTGTGTGTGTGTGTGTGTGTGTGTGTGTGTGTGTGTGTGTGTGTGTGTGTGTGTGTGAGTGTTTGACACAGTGCTGCGTAAGAGTCAAGATGAGGTCACTGACAGAAAAAAAAAAAGTTCATCTGTCAGTCTTTCGATTACTTTTGTGCCGTCCCGCACTTGTCGCTGGAAACGACACAACTGTGACAATAGAAGATATTTCAGTGTGTTTGTGTTTTTGTATTCTGAATATAAAATAGATTTTTTTTTCCTCTTTTAAAACGTTCGTAAAAGAGTTCATATCGGCGAATTGTTCAGACTTAATAAACATGATTTTAATCATGATTATTTATTAAGCACAGAGGATGAAGCGTGCACGTATGCTTGTATGTCTTGTGAGAGTTCTCCTGTCAGAAAAAGAGGCGGTGAGCGGAAAACGCCGCTGTCATCTGCTGCCCGCCACCGTCACCGACTTTGCCTCTGAGGCTTTTTGTCTGTTTTGTCACTTGAGAAGAATCCCCAGCTGATGTGTGCGCGCGCGTGTGTGTGTGTGTGTGTGTGTGTGTGTGTGTGTGTGTGTGTGTGTGTGTTTGTGTGTGTGTGTGTGTGTGTGTGTGTGTGTGTGTCTGCATGCATGCATGCAAGCACGAGGAAGGAATTAGCCAGCTGGGAATGTCAAATACGTACACTCTGTGCATGTGTGGGGGTTTTTTGGGTTGGTTTTTCAAGTGTTGACACAAACAACAACAACAAGAAATTCTCCCTGCAGGTCACACTTGCCGGTGCGCTTGTTGCTCAAGGCATCGTGGGTAGCCACGACCTTGAGCTAATGACAAAAGTGGCACCTGCCAGGCTGTTGAGATGTGAGATGCTTCCGTGCCTCCCTGCTGGGATCGATATGCTTTTGTTTCAACGCTCTGTATTTGAATTCAAATTTTCTGTGTGTGATTTTACTTCATCTTGTGGCTTTGCTCGCTATTTTTGATCCGATTACTATATTGGAAAGAATCGAAAAAGAGAGACATCAAGCTGTTTGGACGGAAGGCTTTTGCTTCCACATCAGAAAAACGAATGTTTAACACGCTCAGTGTTTGACTTCCACATTCGGAAAAATTAAACAAAGCAATTAATTCCGTTCAGTTCAGGTCAAGTCTTTTTTTTTTTGGTCTCATAAATTAAAGTTACTAGCTACCAAACTGCGTTGCTCTTCTAGAATACTTCCATCCATCCGTCCACTTTCCGATCCGCTTATCCTCACAAGCGTCACGGCGGGGGGGGG